GGAAGCCTGCTTCTCCCTCTCCCACTCCCCCTGCTTGTGTTCCCTCTCTCGCTGTGCCTCTCTCTGTCAAATAAATAAATAGAATCTAAAAAAAAAAATACAGCCAGAGAGACAGGCAAGACACCCATTTGCTGTACTTGCGTCACGTACACAATACGAGGAACTGGCTTCTCCCAGACGTTTTGTTGAACACATACTCAACCAGGGAAGGAGAGACAATGACCAATTCTTTATTGAGCAATACGAATGAGCCTGCCACTGGAGTAGGCATTAATATATACAAATCGTTTACCCTGATTAAAAGCTCGGTGCAGCAGGCCTGCATGTCACCATTCGAGAGAAAAGAAACCTGGGCTGAAAGAGAGCACACAGCTGGACTGAAGTCAGACAGCCTGAGACACGGGAGGAGAGACTCAAACCCAGCTCAGTCTGCTCTTTCCACTCTCAGACTGGAAAACTCATCACCCACGGCCACCTGACGCCCCTGCTGCGCCCGTGGCAGACAAGTCTCGAGTCCTGACTGACATGGAGCTACAGGCAGCAAGTAACTCTCAGTGAGCCCTGGCACCCACCCAGGCACCCACCTGCCATGCCTATCGGGCTGTGCCACTGAGGCAGGAGAGCCTGGTTCCTGTGCACGTCCAGAGCCTCCTTCCCTGCCCTAACCCAGGGTCCTTCTGCTCCTCCAGTCCAAAGGAAGCCACTAAACTGCTAGAAGCCACAGGACTTCTCTCCATCTGTCTGCCCACTGACAGAACTTAGCTATGGTCACTGTGATAATCTTAGAAACAACTGAAAACACAGAAAAGAAAGGACTCTGGAAAAAGTACTTAATACTTATCATTTTTAACTAACCAGTTACAAAATGAATATTAAAACTTCAATCTGTCTTTCTACGTATCAGCTACTAGCCGTTCAAAAATATAATGGCAAAAAATCTCATCTACAAAATTAGCAAAAACACATACAATAACTAGAAATAAACTTAAAAACAACACTTACGTTCTTGATGAAGACAACTGCAACTGTACTGCAGGACTTAAAATAAGATGTGTAAATGCAGAGATGTTAACATATTCTATAGAGAAAAGTAATTTTGTAGAGATATAAGTTCGCCTAAAAATAATTCAAAACTTATTGCAAGCCCCATGAAGATTTCAATTTTTTTTTTTTTCTGTAACTTGAACAAAATATTCCAGAATTCTTTAGGAATAATAAAGTCAAATTACTAGCCAAGAAAATCTGGGATCAGAGGAAGGAATTTCAAAGAAAAGAAGACATACTATCATATATTAAATAAACTACAGGAAATAAAATATCATGATGCTAGACTAAGAAAAGAAATTCATAGAAAGGAATAAAAAGGTCAGAATTAGACTCCAAAATATGGATAAGTAGAATTTCAAATCAGAGAGAAAAGGTATGAATTCAATAAGTCATGGTAGAACAATCAGATAGTAACCTGGAAAAAATAAATAATATTGCTGTGTCATAATGTACACAAAATAAGCTATAGGTAAGAAGCTAAATGTTTTAAAACTGCTAACAATGGGGGCGCCTGGGTGGCTCAGTCGATGAAGCGTCAGACACTTCCTTTCGGCTCAAGTCACAGTCTTAGGGTCGAGCAAACAGGCTCAACATCAGGCTCTGCACTCAGCACAGAGTCTGTTTGGGATTCTCTCCCTGCCCCTGCTCATGGGCACTTGGGCACATGCTCTCTCTCTCTCATTAATGAATTAATTATTTAAAAAATAAATAGGGCGCCTGGGTGGCTCAGTCGTTAAGCGTCTGCCTTCGGCTCAGGTCATGATCCCGGAGTCCCAGGATCGAGTCCCACATTGGGCTCCCTGCTCAGCGGGAAGCCTGCTTCTCCCTCTCCCACTCACCCTGCTTATGTTCCTGCTCTCGCTATCTCTCTCTCTGTCAAATAAATAAATAAATAATCTTTAAAAAAAATTAAAAAATAAAAATAAAATAAAGATCACTAGACTTGGCCTCCAGTCCATCAGAGTTCCCACTGATTCTTTCATGGACACTATTAAAGATGAAAGATTGGAATACTCTGATCAGTAATATACTCTTTTGTTCTTCTTCCATCATTTGAATATAACAAGAAACCAAATGATAAACACTACATTATAAGTGGAATTGCAATCACTCCAAGCCCCAGAAAAGATTCTTAATGGAAAAATCTTGGGCACAAGTGCTTCAGAGCCCCAGGAAAACTCTTAACTGAAAAGTTCCTCATTGGCCATGGGCTCTGTGAGCCTCAGGACAAAGCCATGTTAGGTCAGCATAGACATCCACAGCACAAAATCTGGGGAATATGAAAGAGTCCCAGGCAAAATTTTAGGCCAAGATCCTTACAAAATTTTGAAATGAAATCAAATTCCCAAACTTATTTCCAATCCACTGCTCTTTTAGGGAATATTAATCAAAACATCTTTGTTCTAATTTCTCAATAGGCTGTACAGCCACAAAGGCTGAGCCCACCAGGGCCCAGACGTTTACATGAAGCTCCAAGTGGAAAGTAACTCAAAGATTACTCAAGACAAGTAGCTTTACTCATAAGATGAACTCTGAGGAACTCGATTGTTAATTCACTATTCCTTTTCCAACTGGAAAGTAAGTTCACACCTGCTTTATTCCACTAGAAACAAAGCAGTAATATTAGCAGGAAACTCAGACTTAGGAAGAGTCTCCTGGCTATCTGGAAGGACGTAGAGACATAGGAACCAGAAAGACCCAAGTGCCAGTCCCAAATCTGGACATTACTAGCTTTGGCACTTTCCTTATTAATAAGGATAATAAAATCTAATCATGCTTGTTGTAAAGACTAAATGAAATAACGTGTATGGTCAGCATAGCTTAAAGCTCCCGATGAGTGTTCAAGAAATGAGAAATACCATTGTTAATTAATGCCTTTGATGTCACCAGTGTTAACCCAAAATCAGCCAGCTAGAGATGCTCCCGAAAATGCCTCACCAGCCTTTAGCCTTCTCAAACATGGGCACTTGCAGTGACCTGAGGAACAAGGCTGTGGCGGTCACTGAGAGATGGGCTGGTGATGGCACACACCGGCAACGACTGTGAAATAGCAGGGCAGAGAACGGCGGAGACCATACATTCTCAAGTGTGGAAAACACATTCTGTTTCTACCCACATTTATTTCTAGCCGTGATTATACAGAGAGAAAATATATATTCAAAATTACACAAATTTCCATATATGTGTGTCAAAACAGTTTGGAAAGGAAAGAATGTAACTCTCTTCCCTACATCCCAAAGCAGGGTTACCAGGCTTGTACCAAGGACCTTTCTTTAAAAACCATCGGCTAAAGTAACTGGATCCATTTTTGGTTTTAATCATTCAAAGGGAAAGGATTAAAAACAAAACAAAGTTACATAAGACCTGTTCCCTCGATGGTTGACAAGGTCATGGAGGAGACAGACAAGCCGACAAGGAATCACTCTGCTGAGTTCCCAGCGCCACAGAAGATGGATGGAGGGATGGATGATGGAGGGGCAGTTGTGCCCCCACTCTTAGGCTGGTACCTAAAAGGCTCCTAGAGCAGGTGTACACACCTTGTGCTCAACACCTTGACAAACATTAAAGAGAGATGAAACTTTAAGAACAATCAACACCCTTGGTCAGCACACACCCGAAGTGGCAGAGCAAAGCCAAAGCCTGACTTCTGCTCATCCTGGTAGCCTTGGATTCATTCTTGGATGATCTTAGAAACCAAGTCCTCTGGCCTCAAGAAGTCCTGCCTACTTTTACCATCTTCAGATTTAGTGAGCAAGCAAGCTGAGCTGTGGTTTGAGGACTGCACAAACTTTGACTATGTCTTTCTTAGCATTAATTTTCTAATTCTAAAGAGTCCTGAGTTTTTTGAGTATATTCTCCATAAAATCTATTCCCCCCAATGACAACTCATGGAGCCTGAAATTAAAAGCCAATTAAATAAGACCGTACACAACCCAACTGTCACCCACCCATCATCACTTTCTTCATATCCTCTCCTGCCTGACTGTATTAACACCTCCCTCCACCAAGCTCACTAAACACAGATTTGTCTCCTCAAATAGAACACGAGCTCCATAAAAGAGGAGACTACTCCATATTCACCTCTGAGTTCCTAGCATATTATAATATCAATGGATATAATTATCAACATGGCTCTTCCCTTTAAAAAATCTTTTTGGGGGCGCCTGGGTGGCTCAGTTGTTAAGCG